TGGGGCACCTGTGACAGAAAAATAACTCTAAGATAAATAGAGAAATAAAATAAGGGAGAACAATATACCTTCAGTCGAACAGTAGCGACAAATAGGGAAGGTCCAAAAAGCTCCCAAATAATCAAGTCACGGTGCCCAGAAATCCAAAATATATAAATAAGTGATCTACTGCATCAAGGGCAGATCAACAGAAAAGAGGATCCGCTCCCTCCCAAAAAGTCCTAGAATAAAATCACAACGAAAGTTGTGATCCAGCAGTGGGCTGGACAATGATCTAGCAGTAGGAGTGATTTTATTGGGTTTATTGGGTTGGATCTATTATTATTATTATATGGAGAATGGGTAAAGGGCGCGGGACAGGATATATATGGCCAGTCGGTTGGACAGTGGGCTGGTTTAGCATATGGTTATGGGCTGGTTTGGCATATGGTTATGGACTGGTTGAACTGGTATGGATTGAGGTTGCTGCCTTTGTCGTGGATTAAGGTTGTGGTGGACTGGTATGGATTGGTTTGTCTGGGATGCGGCTAGGGGCTAGTATGGACTGGTATAAGGATAGGCAGTCAGTGTATGGACTGGTATGAGGATGGGCAGTCGGTGGAAGACTGTTTGTTGCCTGGGCCGTCGGTGTATGGATTTTGGGGCTGTCGGTGTGGCCTGGTATGGGCAGTAGGTGGACTGGTTTTGTCGCTGGTTTGGTCGGTTTCGCTGGGCAACTGATGGCCAGGGTGGTTTCGGCGGTATGGCTGGTAGAGCCATACACTAACCCTACCCAAACCCTAACCTTGTTCTGATACCAACTTGAAATAATTGTGAGTAAAAGGAGATACTCAAATTAAGAGTAAAACCCCGTATATATAGGCAAAATATAAAAATCATAGTAAGGGTAAAAAAGGGAAAAGAAATCCTAATAAACCTAGGAAAGAGAAATCCTAATAAACCTAGACTATCTATACTCCAACAATACTAAATATATTATTTTTAAAAAAATTTAAATATATGTGTGAGTCGGGTAAAAAAGTGAAATTTTTATGGATATTCAACATTCTTATCTGTTGTTTTGTGAAACACTAAAATTTCTTCCATTGATCGGCCGAAATTTTGCGAAATTCTAATAATCAAGTAGAAAGGATGAGGAATGGGTCGAGTGAACAAAATTTTGAATAGTCCTAATTGTGGTGGAAGTTTGTGTAAGTTTTTATGTATAGAAAATGTGTGTTTGAGGAAGCTTATATTTTTGCTTTTTTTTATGTTCCTAAAAGTCTTTCTCATCTTCCTTCGATTTTGTCCTTTAGACCATGCACTATTAATTAACGTGGAATTTATTGCATTAAAAAAATTAAGAAAAAATAATTCTAAAAATAATCTTAATCTTATCAAATATTTTAACTGCTAAAATAGAAAAACTTTTTAAATCGATTATAGCCACTAATTGAGTGGGGCCATGCCTTCTGAAAGAAAGATGGTTCGAAGGTTCAAAACTTATTGTTAGAAATTCACAAAAAATAAATTAATTAGGTCTAGTCCAGTTGACCACACTTGATGTTCTCAACCATGAGCAATGTTTTATGAACCAGACCAGATTGGCCGGTCGGACCAGTGAACTAGGACCTTCAACGGTCCAATTTACTAAAAAGTCCATTTGGTAATTGAACTGTTGGAGAACCGAAAAATTGGCTAGTGAACCAATGATTAAAAAACCAGCCTTTGTCATCTCCACCTTCTTCGTCTTCTCCAGATCAAGCACTTAAACAACGGCACACGACACTACAGATCTAGATCATCTCGAACACTAGATCTCCAAGTCTCAAACATCGGACTTCTTTTTCTCCTCTCTCTCTCTCTCCACACAGACACACACTCACAATTGGTAATGGAGTAAGAGATGCGGGGTCTTGTCTTTCTGTCTCTCTCTCTCTCTACACGTGCGCGCACACACAGAGTCAATACGAATATAGACAATAGTTTAATAAACACCCTCAACAATCAAAACACACAGTACACTATAATACACCATACACAGATTACACTATTTATTTTTTTATTGTGATTATGAATTTTTTAGTAAAATTATTATGTTTTATCTTTTTATTTTTTTATTATAAGACCGATCCAACTAGTTGAACCAATAAACTATTGACCCGGTCCCTCTGTCGATTCAATGTCCAATCTAATTATGATAATACTGACCACGAGGCCAAAGGACAAGGTCAATCCTTAAAGCAAGTATTGATCTTTTATGAGTCCCTCTTTTGGGTGGTTTTGCTCTTTGTTCCCCCCCCCCCCCCCCTTTCCCCCAACACCCACCCCACCCCCACCACCAGGCAGTGGCCTTCTTCTTATTCTTCTCCCTCTTTTCTCTCTCTCTCTCTCTCTGTTTGAGCTTGCATAGCAGCAGTTAGTGAGCAGATATATTTTGTTATACAACACAACGTGTATGATCTTGCCATACAATGGGACAATATTGTGCCATCAAGATTTCATACATGTAACAATTGAATGCTGAAAAGAGACTAAGCTAACCCGTCAACATATTTTCAATGGCATGATTTCAATGATTAATATCTCGAATTTTAAATTTAAGTGTCTCGTAAGAAAAAAATCTGATAAACCAGGTTTAGATGATTTACAAATGATTGTGTACATCATAAATTTGCAAAATATTCACAAATCCAAACAATACATAATTAGGACGATTATCGGGTTATGAAAAGATATATATGTCAACTAGAATATTATTATAATTTGGGAATAAACTCAGCTAAAAAGTGACCAACCTAACTTATGAGGATAGTTTCTATGGCCTGATTTCAATAGTTAATATTGTATTTCTAACTTGGAGTCTTAAAAAAGAATCACTTGTTTAAGTATGACCACTATAACCTTAGTTCAATTTGGAATGAAATCCTTTTTTGTTCCCCGACCAACTACTGTAGGAGAGGTGTAGCTTTCTCCTCCCCTACAAGTCAATTGGAATAATAGCATTTAAAAAAATCATTTATAGAGTACGTCATCAAATGCAATTCCAAAAGTCAAAGGGTCGGAATTTTTTTTATCTCTCAAAAAAAAAAAAAAGGGCGAGTTATATTTTATACTCTAAAAAATTTAAGAAACCTCACTTTATACCTTTAAAGATAAAAAAATATATATTACACTCTCAGTGTATTAAAAATATTGTAATGTGATCATTCTATTAAGTTTTGTTATTTTTTTCATCAAAATCACCCCATTAAACACTAACAAAAAAAATAACAAAATCTAATAAAAGGGTCACATTGTAATATTTTTGATACGTTGAGGGTGTAATATAAAAAAATTTATTTTTAAAGGTATAAAGTGAGAATCCTTAATCTTGTAGGGTACAAATTGCAATTCTCCCCTCAAAAAATTAAGTCAAATTGGTGATCTGAAGAAGAAATATGTCAGCACCTTAACTCTTCAATGGCACTGTCACGGATAGTAAAATTTCAAAGATTAATATGCAAAAATTTTAAATATGCATTTGGTAAAATATATATATTTATTCTAGTAGACTTAATGTACATAATTTGTAAATGATCATGTGTCCAAAATTTTCATATTAGTCATAAATTTAAAGAGCGTGTGATTGAGACGATTCTCGGTTATTAGAAGACAAAAAAATATTTTTGTTTACGAAAACAAATGGCATTTTGTAGAAAAGGGATGTCAAAGAGTAAATGAGGCATGGGCAATTCTGGGGTGTCATCATCAACCAATATATTTGAAGATCGAACAAATTGGGCAGTTCTAATAGCTAGTATGTGTGCTGTGCTATTTTCAAATTTTTTTTTTTTTTGTTTGGTGAGGAGGACAACGATGTTCAAACCCGTAACTTCAAGGTCCAATAGCGAGACATTAACCATCAAACCAACCATTACCCTTGAGTGTGCTGAATCTCAAAATACCTAAACTACCCATATTTAGTTGGCAAATAGGCAATAAAACAACACAGTTGAGCCAAAATACCTGTTTGTCGAACTCAAAAGTTGATTTTTTTTTTAAAATTAATAATTTTATAAGTGACAACAATTTAACGGGAATATACAATACTCTATAGGTGTTGTACACACATTTTTTCTTCATATGTTCAAGTGATACCCCATTATATTTAAATGGGTTCTTCACTTATTAATAGTAAATATTTTGTCAATAAAAAAATGGAAGAAAAATAAATTAAAATTGTAAAGTTACAGAGGACGAATAAAAAATTTACAATAAAACTATGTTTACCAAATTTTTTTATCTCAAACAATGAATTATCATCTTCATCATCAAATATTAATAGAGTCCACATATCTAATGGTGAAAAATTTTAGAGGATTCATTATTTTTTCACTAAATCGAGTGAATTTGACACGATACCACTAATAAATGAATGAAGAATATGCATGATATGTTAAATAATCATGTATTCTAAAAGTTTAAGATGTAAATTATTTTAATAATTAGGGTAATGACGAAACTTAAAACATATGACCTCATGCTCCTACTCTGATATCGTGTTAAACAATCACCAATTCAAAAAAATACAACGGTTACCAATCTATCACATCAAGGTTGGTGCACAAAATACCAATTGTGTTCCCATACTTGGACCACATGCTATGTATGGACCACACTGTAACATATCTAACATATAACCGCCCTAATCAAACATTTTTAATCCTAAAGGCTAATATGAATCTCTCTTACCATGTTTATATCAAATTTTAGAAATGCATCACAACCCAAATAAGAACAGACAATAAGTTTACAAGCAGCAAATCAAAATATAATAATTACACAAATTTATTTAAAATTTTCAACATGAATTTATGTGTTTGTATAGTTATCAAATTTTGAATTTATTTCCTAAAAAAAAAAAGCGAATCACTAACATCAATTAAACAAAAATCTTATTATTGTCAAGAGCCCAATCGGTTCCAAACCACAAAACGCCGACACCGATCTCCATTAATTACATTTACATTTTGAAAAAAAGAGGAACAAACCTATAACGAAGATCGATGTAAACGACGTCGGAAAAACACAGATTCGGCCATTTCCAATTTTCCATATCTACAAGAAGAGAGAGAGAGAGAGATAGAAGGAAGGGTTTAGGCAACGCTACGTTTGCCGGGACGATCGGCGGCTTTGAGGTTTTTGTCGATGAGCTTACGAGCTTGCTTGCTACGAATCTCCACCCTCACACTGGAGCTCTTGTCCATTTTCACGTACGGCTTCTTCTTCGACTTCTTCAAGGCTCGAACCTTCGACTTTATCGACTCCACCAAGTTCTCCAACTGGTTCGCCATTTCCAACTGTGACTCTGTGTGTGTGTGTGTGTGTTTGAGAGAGAGAGAATGAGAGAGGCTAGGGGTTTTTTTTTTTTTTGAGGACTCTGGAAATGGTTTGCTGTTCTTCGGGAGAGATAGAGGGTGTTAAGACGCCTCTATGGTTCTGTTTTCCGGTTCTTTCTGGGTGAGCGACTATAGGGTTTTATTGACTGAATTCTAGATATTGGCCTTGGGTCTAGAGATAATTACGACTGAGCCATTGGCTGTTCGTTTCTGACTCTGTTAGTTATGACGTGCTATTTGCGGTGTGTGAAATCTGGATAAATGCTATTGTGACTTTCGATACTAATCAAAAATAATTGGGAAAATTATATTTTGAACCCTAACAATTTAAGCATTTTTATTTTGTATCTTTAACTAATAATTTTTTTATATTATACTCTTAATATATTAAAAGTGTTACACTATGATCCTTTTGTTAGCTTTTATTGCTCACTCCGTCAACATTGTTGCACATTGTAACACGTCTAATATATTAATAATGTAATGTAAAAATTTTAATCTTTGACGGTATAAATTAAAAAAGACAGATTTTGAAAATTTAAAACAATCATTTTTTAAGTAATGCTAGACTACACCAAAAACATGGAGGCAATGAGATAACACTACAATAAATATGTCTTTGGTCCCACGTCCGACTTGCATGCATTAAGCATTATACCCGTGTTTATCTTGAGTCAGGATTGAACTCTCCATATGATTCATAATTACATTACTTATAATTTATTTATTCGTAGACAAAGCAAATTCGAAATTATCTTTCATTCCAAAACCTAACTTGTATGCATGTATTTCATATTCACCCGAAGTTCGCTCCCAAAAATATGATCATCTCTGCCCCATCACATCAAGTATACTCTCAGCGTCTCGTGGTTGAGAATATCCCTCTTTCAAGGAGGCAACGGGCATTCGACTTCCTTGGAGGGTAGAGTACTACGAAAGGAAATTGATTATAGATTACCAATAAGCCTAAAATAAATTCTTCATGGGTTGATACCCGAGTGATTAATGAGGACGGACTATAAATTTGTTGATAATATGTGTACGTTGGTTCAAATCTAGCTCGGCCTTTTATTGATTTAAAATTTATCATATGGGTTCTATTTTTTATTTTCTTTTTTAGTTAGTATAGCATTACCGGTATTTTTTTCCCGAAATACCACCAAAAATTAGGTTCATATCTATTGTGTAACATACCAGAATCATATGGGATTTTTATGGATTAATGGCTTTACCAAAAAATAGCCTATTCTCATTAAAATCATCACAGCAATTATGAATTACTTTTGCAAGCGAAGACTTCAAGGTTAGTAAGTCCTAGATTGTAAGCTCCACTCTAATAAGATTTTGTTGATAATTAAAGTCTCTTATAATTATCCATACTGGCATGGTCTTAGCCAAAAAGGTTATGGTTGTTGAGCAACATTAGGATAGTTCTCCCCCCCCCCCCCCCCCCCAAAAAAAAAATAAAAATAAAAATAAAAAGCCCACCCCAATTTTGGACCTTCTTCATCTATGGAATGGTTTTGGACCATAATTTTATTCGATTTATTATATTTTTTCTTTTTTTTAAAAAAATTTGTTTATTTACTCTTATATTTTTATTCAGATTTTATTTAGACTAAATGAAACTAATTTTGTTGTTTCATAAAATAATTTAGACCTAATTTTTAATATATATTTTTTTCTTTGAACTTAAAATTTTCTTTATATCAATTGTCGAATTAATTTTAGTTACATTTTTTCCTCCCCTTAGACAAATTACTGACTCGGCCCCAAACTCAAAACCTAAGTCCGATATAGTCTCTCAAAATTATTGGACTTGAAGGGATTACATGATATATCTAGGCAACTAAGGTAGAAATAGTGAGAATCTACAGCAAAAACAGAATGAGTGACTGTATAATTTGAGAAACAAAAAAGGATGTTCTTATAATTAGCAGAAATGTTAGGAGCCATAAGTGTAATTTGTTCTAATGCATTATTAGTGCCACCATATATTTTGTTGTAATAAATAATATTAGCTGCACAAAACAGTTGATGTGAGGCAGCCAATGATGACTCCTTGGTTGTTAAGAAGAATTTCCATCCCAAAAGGATTTGACTACTGTATGCCCAAAAAATATTTGGTATTATCTCCCTAAAATTTATTATTTTATACAGTATTTTTATAATTTTTATGAATTTATTTATAATTAAAAATTTTATTATTTTTGTAATTGATTTACAATTTTTGTGAGTTTTTTACTAGTGCATGTTTTTTTCACATTTATAGTAATTATTTTTATCACTTTTCTTATGTATAAAAAAAATATTATATTTGTGGAGACATTTATCACATTTGTGAATATTTTTATCATTGTTGTATTTATTATTTTTATTATTTTTTTAGATATCATAATTATTGAAAAAGTGATGAGTCCTAATAAATGTTAGAACTCATATTGAATCAATGACAGTGATTGATTAAATTCACATATTAAGTCTACATTTTAAATCAATGTTTCATTGCTCTTAATTTTAAAGATTGTTCAAACAATGTGAAAACTCTTGATCATTATTTTGACTTACTTGACAACTATTCCCTCCGTTCCTAAATATCTGTGGTTTTACATAATTTTTTTGTTTCATAATATCTGTCGTTTTATGAAACCAAAACATAATTAATATTTTTTCTTCCAAATTTACTCTTAACTTTTCAATGCATTAGATTAAGTGGAGGCTAAGTATCTTTCATATTCTTTTCCTTCCCAATACATATTGAAGATGAGTATTTTAATCTTGTGTAATTACTCCCTCCATTCCTAAATATCTGTCGTTTAATGTTTTTGCACAGGGATTAAAGAAGCTATTAAATAGCTCTAGTATGAGTAAAAAATAATTGCACAAGATTAAAATATTCTTATTCAATACTTATTGGGAGAAAGACATTTAACATACACTTAATCTATTAAGCACTTATCAGAAAAACAGAGATAAGGATAAATTTAGAAGAAAAAATATTAATTATGTTTTGGTTATATAAAATGACAGATATTGTGGAACAAAAAAAATTAGATAAAACGACAGATATTTAGGAACGGATGGAGTATTTTTTACTCATATTACAGCTATTTAATAGCTTCCTTAATTCCTGTGCAAAAACCTTAAACGACAAATACTTAGGGACAGAGGAAGTATTTGAAAATTTTTGTAACATAGGTTCTCGTGTTCACAACTATACTTTAGAGCTTATAGAGATTTTGTATTTTACATACCTTAGTGGATGTTTCTCATAACAAAAAGCTTTAAAAAAAAAAATAGTCAAATACACGATACTTTTGTCATAACAGAGTCCGAAGATGGTTAAATATATAAATTTTCATTCCACATGCGAAAAACTAATGTTTCCATCACGTAGCACCAAAACGCACAAGTCACAATGAAATTAGTATATAGTAAATTATTTTTCGGGGAAGACTTGTCATTTGCTTGCCATCCACAAATGTAACATATATTGGATAGATTTAGTACATAAGGACTGATATTTTTAAACGAGTTTGAGTTTCAAACATATATATTTTAAATTTATATCGTCAAACTCTCTAATTTCCCCCCAACGATTTTCCCCCGCGATTGTTCATACTTTTTTTTTATGTTGTTATTTTTGATATGGTTATGAACTCTTGCTCGAAAATATTTATTCACCCGCCTGATTTGTATAGAATATATTTATTTCATCAGTCGTGCCTCAAGGTTGGAGATTGAAAACATTTCTACAAAAAAGACATACTACTATACCGAAAAAATAATTTTCGTTACCGTAAATCTCTTTTTGTTTAATAAGACTGTGACACATATAAAGTAATTTTCTTTCATTCATTCTTTCACCTTATTTTTTTTTTATTGTGATGAAAGACCACAAATAATTTAGATCAACATTTATAATTAAAAATAATTTATTGGGGATACCGAAAAATAATTTTTTTTAATATTTTAGTGACACCCTAAGTACAAAAGTTAGATTACTACACGTATGCATGCATGACGTACGACATTTGAGTTCCACATAGAAAAAAAAACACAATGGCAAATATTAAAATTGTCCTAAACTTTGACAAAAATCCTCTAAAGCTTAGTCCATAGCAATTGCAATATGACATCCAACCAGTTGCCAAATTAGAGAAGTCGAGGATTAAAATTTTATTTCGGTGTATTGTTTAAGTCACTTAAAAAACGAAAATATTTTTAAAACAGAATGGAAACGAATTAAATATTTAAAAATTTATTTTCAAAATTTTGGTCAAAATACGCTGAAACATCTAAAAAAACATCAAAACATCTCGAAACAAATGAAAAAATGGAAAGAAATAAAATATTTGAGAATTTATTTTTTAAATATTCTAAAATATTAATCGAAATATACTAAAAAGTCTTAAAATACCTCAAAAATTTTTAAAACATATCGAAATACTTGAAAACATTTTGAAACGCTTTAAAGATTAATTTTTTGGTTACATCACTAATTCGTTTCGGCTTCATCTGCTTCAAAAGTACAAATTTGATTCTTGGTTGAAACTTCTAGGTACGAATCAGCCACAATTTTGTACTTCCAAATTCAAAAGCAAATGAAAACAAAAACACTTCGACTTAAGCCGATAATTTTTCTTCTAAAGAAGCAGAAATGACGACATAGGGTCACTCCAGTCAATTGCGTAATAAATCAAGCACATGGACAAGTAAAACATTGCGTCTTTGACAATGTAGTAACAGTAAGCGAATTTTTCAGCTTCTTCCAAGTCACGGCACTTGATATTACAGGACTGGAATGACTACTTTGCCCTTCGCCGGTGACCGATACAAGACATGACTCAGGTCAGTGAACATGGGTCCCAATTTGCCCAATGACACGTAAGCAGAAAGTAACTAGCTCATGGTGTTATCTATCACCTCTGATGGCCACCATATATTCAATTAATAAATTTGGGGAACTTCTCCGGTACTGCACACAGTATTGGTAACGCAA